TTTGTCCACGATGAGAGGGAGGGGACCCAAAAGAACTATGTTTAGTAAGGGCAGTTTCTATTAGTTTTTGAGTTAATTCTCAGGTGCAAGGGCTAATATAGCATTTTACTAAGATAAGTACTCCTATAACTATAGTAAGTGAAGTTAATATAGAGGTCTTAAGTCCTTTTTATTTTTTAAACAATCTTTCCATCCAATCTCTGACGGGATCGTCTATACTAGAATTTTCAGCTAATTTATTGGCAAGAGTGGTTAGTCCTTAGAGGCCTTTCGTAATGGTGCCTTAGGAATGTAGGTGCAACACTGTCCTCCAATCATTACACAGATACTGCCTTTTTCTGCCAGGATTATGTCTAGGGCTAACCTGTTTTCCCAAGCCATTCTATTAGTTGGGTCCAGTTGTTTAGTACTACCCTTAATGGCATCTCTAGTGTAATTAACAAATCTCTGTTGGTTATCGTAGATATAATTTATCTAGTCTACATTTTTATTAACAGTGACCCACCAAAATAGGAAAGATTTAAAACCTGTGGCTATCTGATTTCAAGCCTTGAACTCACTTGGCACTCCTCGTGGTACCCCAATAACATCTAGATATATGTGTAGGTCAAAGGATCCTCCCGGCATTCGTTGGACATCTCTCTTGTGTTGGGAGTGAGAGTATGGTTGAGATAGGTTATGGGGATGGAATGCCAGGATAAAAGGGATAGCCAATTGCACCAGGGCACAAGTGCCATTCCAATTCTCCAGAAGAACTTCAAATAGGCAATGTCCACAGTACCACCATACGTTGGCTCGTGGGATGAGTAAAGCAGCTTTGGTTGGCTAATGAGGAGAATTCTCACTTTTCATTGCACCCGGTCAAATTTCCAACTGAGGCTAAGTTCTTCCCCCACCTAGAGAGGCAGGAGGTGAAATGAGCCCCTGCCGCAGGTGGCTTTATGGCTCTCAGGGGCTGACCCGCAGAGCCCTTAGTTACCGGGAATAGCAAAGATAGTGAGATGCAGGATGCATTTCTCCCAGCCTCAGAGTCTTGGAAAAAGCAACCATGTGTGTCATTCCCACCAGGTCTGTGGACCAGCCTAAAGGAAAAGGAACAATCTGAGCTTCTGGTCTTCCTGTCACACAAGTGTAACAGTCGCTCTTGTTTAAAGTGCGGACAGAATATTTGATCCATTCCATCCGGGCATTTGCATCCTGATAACCTGTTTCTATGGCTAGTGTCTGTTTTAGATCTTTAATCTTCACTATTGTGACTATAGATCTATCTTTATTCTTTTGGGGCTTGGGGGCCACTGTGCTTGTGGGATCTTTGCCTGATATATCAACCCTTAGACCATAGACTCTGGACAGCGTGGGGGTCTGGTCTAGAGTGGTAGGGACATTAACGGTTATGTGTACCGCGTTACACTGCAAGGGCTGACAATCCGGAGCTGGAGTTCCCCGGGTGAAGTGTAACTTAGATTTTAACGAAGGGCATCCAGAGCTGGAGGTCCAACCCTGAAACTGGGTGGTCCACAAGACATCAGTCTAGGACTGGTATGGCTGGCCATAGATTTTAGGGCAACCCCCTTCTTTACCAGTTAGATGGGGCCCATCTTCATCTGCATAGTTTCCAACCCCAGACCCATCTGTAGTGAAAGGACAAAGATATCTGTCAATTGAGAAAAGTTGTCTCTGATTTTGTAGGGAGTCACAGGATAACACTTGACAGGCATCAAAACTGACCATTAGTGGGGATTTGAGTGGGGAAGAAGATCTAGTTACAAGTTACATTAATAATAATTAGCCCTTCGGCTATATGTTTTCCAAAATGATGAAATAGAAATATCTCTAATAACCCTAATCCCAGTCCACTGATTCCTAAGGGAATCGTTACATGTTTCTTCATCAGGGGCATCCTCAGGCTTCGGCCGTGCGTAGACCAGTCAGCCTCCGGGATGTGACTGGAGCGGGGCTAGACGAGCTCTTCCTCTTCAGGCACACCAGAACCAACAAATGTCAATACCTGTTACACCGAGGCAGTTTAGAAAAGTCTATCTGAAGGTCCTTGAAGGGCGCAGTGCCTACCGTCTGAATTCTGGGAGGTGCGGCTGGGCCTTGTTTGGCGTTGTGTTGGCTGCAAATGGTGCAACACGAGCTTGTGTTCTTAGCCAAAGCAGGGAGGTGTTGGATGTAAAAGTATCTTCCCAAAAGTTTTTCTGTAGCTTCTTCCCCAAGATGAATGGCCTTATGGGCTGTTTTCACAATATTTGGCCCGAGGAGGTGAGGAACAGCTACTTGTCCATCAGGAAGAATCATCCATCCTATTTCATCTGTCTCAGCCCCTTCTCGTTTTAACCATTCCTACCTACTCTAGGGGTGAGTATTTGGGGATTTCTTTTGGAAGCCACGGCAGTAAGGGTGCCATCAGCCTTTCTGTCGTCTCTGTCTCCCAGGTACCCACCTTCTTTGCCTCATCTTTGGCCTTAGCATTTCCCAAAGCCTCCAAGCTAGATCCCTTTTGATGTCCCTTGTAATGTATGACTGCCCCCTTCTTAGGTTCCCAGACAGCCTCTAACAGCCTTAATATTTCTTTTGGATGTTTTAACTCTTTTTTCCCTGCATTTAAGAGTCCCCTCTCTCGATACAGTGCCCCGTGTACACGTAATGTCAAAAAGGCATATTTAGAGTCTGTATAGATGTTTACCACCTTCTCTTTTCCAATCTCAAGAGCCCTTATGAGGGCAATGAGTTCGGCTTTCTGCGCAGAGGTGCCGACTGGCAGGGCTTGGGCTTCTAGCACCTCATCCTGAGTGACCACTGCATACCCAGCTCGCCGGGTTCCGTCAGAACTGACAGAACTGCTCCCATCTACAAATATCTGTAGGTCTGGGTTTGAGCAGGTGCTGTCTTTTAGGTCGGGTCGCCCTCAGTAGACCTGGGCAATGGTTTCTTCACAATCCTGGAGGGGCAGTCCTGGTCCTGCTGGGAGGAGGGTAGCTGGGTTTAAGCATTGTGCAGTCTCAAGTGTAATTCTGGGATTTTCACATAGCAGTCCTTGATATTTACTGAGGCAGGAGTTGGTGAGCCAATGATGGCCTTTGGCATTCATCAGGGTCAGGACCTAGTGAGGCATCGGAATAATCAGTGTTGGCCGAGAGTGAGCTTGTCAGCCTCTTGGGCAAGCAGAGCGGTGGCAGCTAGTGCCCGCGAACATGGAGGCCACACTGCAGCTATTCCGTCTAGTTGTTTTGACAAGTATGCTACCGGTCTCTCCCAGGACCCAAGTCTCTGTATTAATACTCTTACCACTATCTTCTGTCTCTCTGATACGTAAAGGTAGAATGGTTTTTCTAAATCAGGTGGCCCTAGCACAGGTGCTTTCTGGAGGTTCCCTTTGAGTTCGAGGAAAGCATTCTAGTGTCTCTTTTTCCAAATGAAAGGTTCCTTTTCTCCCCCCTCTGTCACTTCATAGAGGCACTTAGTAATAACTGCCTAAGTTGGGGATCCAAATGCGACAAATACCAATGGCTCCTAGGAATTCTCTTAGCCTGCGTTGGGAGGTGGGCTCAGGGATGGACCGTATGGCCTCTTTTCGTCCCCTCCCTGGAGTCTTTCTCCCTTCTGGAGCTGGAACCCTAAATATCTTACAGTTTGTAGGCAAATTTGGGCTTTTCTTTTTGGAAACCTTACATCCACATTGGTCCAAATGTTTGAGGAGGGCATCTGTGCTTTTGGCACACCCTTCTAGGTCTTCATGTCCAGGTAACAGATCATCCATGTAGTAGAGCAGGGCACAGCTAAGTGAGGCTGACGGGAAATTCCGCAGATCTTGTGCCAGGGCTTCTCCGAAGATAGCGGGGGCATTTTTGAATCCCTGGGGAAGTCATGTCCAGGTGTACTGGCTCTTGGTCCCTGTCCTCGGATCTTCCCACTCAAAAGCAAACAGTTCTTGGCTCACAGTGGCTACCCGGATGCTGAAGAATGCATCTTTTAAATCTAAACAAGTGAACCAGGTTGTGGAGGCGGGTAAGAGGCTAAGCAGTGTGTAGGGGTTCAGGACAGTTGGGTGTAGGGTGACAATAGCTTGGTTTATAACCCGGAGGTCCTGTACTGGCTGATAATCTTGGGTCCCTGGTTTTTTTACCGGCAGAAGTAGGGTGTTCCACGGCAATTGACAGGGTACTATGATGCTGTTGTCCTGTAGTCTCTGAAGGTGTGGATTAATCCCCTCTAAGGCTTCTCGAGGGATTGGATACTGGTGGAGGTGCAAGGGGAGCTTGTTTGGCTGGAGTTCAATGACCACCGGCTCTTGATGTGTTGCTGACCCCGGGAGATTGTCCTCAGCCCAGACCGTTGGCCAATGGCTAGCTATCTCCTGCCACAATGGATGTCCTTCCTGTCCCTCAAACATCCTCCACTTCTGTTCTCTAGGGACCGTTAGCGTGTAGATTAATCCCGGGGGCGAGACTGCTAGTTTCATTTTTCCTTCTTCGGAGAAGGTGATTGTTGCCCGTAGCTTCCCAAGGAGGTCCCATCCTAACAAGGGCACCGGGCATTCTGGCATGTATAGGAATTGGTGAAGCACTTCTTGTCCACCCAGGACACATTTTCTAGGCTTAGAAGGGTTGTTGACTTGTTCTCCCGGTGGCCCCTATGATGTCTATTTTTTGATCTGTCAAGGGGGCCACAGGGCTAGTCACTATTGAATGTGTAGCCTTGGTGTCCATGAGGAATTGGGTATCTCTGCCCCCTACATTCATCCTGACCATGGGCTCCTTGGGGGCAGGTGTGGAGCCTGGTCCCCCTTAGTCCTCAAACAGAATAGTCTGGATTGAATTGAGGAGGAAGTCAAGGTTTTGCCCATGAGGCCCCTGTCACTGTTGTTTCTGATTCTTTTCTTTCAGTTTTGGATATATTTTTTTCCAGTGTTTAGTTTTTTTACAAAAGGCACACTGATCTCTTTGTAACTCGGTTTGCTTCCTGGTTTCCCTCATCCCTGGTTTCCCTTTCTGATTTGCCTTTGGCAGGCCTGAGGTTCCCCGTAAGGAGGCAGGGCACGAGTCAGCCTTTTTTTAAATTTTTCTCTCAGCCTCCCTCTTCTCAACATCTCTGTTCACAAAGACCTTGTTAGCGACCTCTAAGAGCTGAGTGGCATTCATCCCAGCAAACCCTTCTAGCTTCTGGAGCTTGCGGCGTATGTCACCTGCACTCTGACTCACGAAAGCAGTGTTGATCGTTCGCTGATTTTCAGGAGCCTCAGGGTCAAAGGGAGTGTATGTTCGATAGGCCCCGCACAGTCTCTCATAGAAGGCTCCCGGACTCTCATCTGGCCTCTGTAGTATCTCAGTGACCTTGGCTACATTTGCGGCCTGCTGCCCTGCTTTGCGGATGCCTTGTAAGAGGGCCTCCCTGTAGGCCATGAGCTGTCTCATGTCATCAGGATTGTTTGGGTCCCAGCTTGGCTCTTCTGCCGGGAGTCGTCTCTGAGCATAAGCCTCGGGGTTTAGAGTCCTCACAGGGGCATTTTCTTCTACCCACTTAGTGGCAGCCTGTAAGACATGCCGCTGTTCATCTGTGGTAAAAAGCGTCAGAAGGAGCTGTCTGCAGTCGGCCCATGTCGGGTTATGCGTTTGGAAGATAGACTGCATCAAATCTATCGTCCCCTGGGGTCTCTCAGTATAGGACACGGTGTGATGTTTCCAATTCATCAGGTCAGTAGTTGTGAAGGGTTGATAAACCAAGGTGGGGTGACCTAGTTGAATCTGACTGTCTTCTCCCACCTGTCCGGGACCTCTGACCTCCCTCAAGGGATATTGACCTCGTAGATCGACTCCTGGGGTGTAGGGTGAGAGTACTGGTGGACTAGGGGTTCCTCCGGGAGGAGGTGTCAGCATCAGTGGTCTCAAGCCATCGCCAGTAGAGCAGGGCAGAGCTTCTGGACTTAAGGAAGACTGTTCTCTAGGGCCCTCAGGGCTCTTGACTGGAGTCTGAGGTCCGGGGTCCAAACTTGTCTCCAGTGAGGTGGCCTGAGAAGAGGCCGGAGAGGTCGGCTGCTTGGGTGGCTGACGTCGGTGCCCCGGAGCATACGGTGGAGGCAAATTGGGGCCGAGGTCCTCCAGGTCTCCCACCAGGATGGGTGGGCCCAAGTCCCCTTTTACTGGCCCTCGAGAGTCCCTAGTTAGCTTTCCTCTCTTTCCCTTCTTTGCTACTAGCACATGGGAAATGGGACCCCTAAGCCAAGGCGGGGGGTTCAGTACTAGTTGTAACCAAGTATCAATATAGGGGAATTGGTCGGGGTGACCTGGGTCCCCTGTCACTACCGTCCACACTGCCTGAGTGATATCCTTGTCTAGGGTGCCCTCTAGTGGCCACTCCACTCCAAAAGTAGGCCATTCTAATTCACACAGGGCCCTCAGTTTGGGGGCCGTCATCTTGACCCCATAGTCCCCAGTAAATCCTTTCTTAAAGTTCTTAATCATGATCTCTAAGGGAGTGGGTTTTCCCTGACTTCCACCCATAGTTCCTGAGGTCCGGCTTTCACCGAGGTGTCTCAACACAAAGAAAAAGACAACTTCCGCTTCCTTCCTCTCCCGCCAGTCCCCTGGTGAGGATATTTCAGGCCCGTCTTAGCATTGGCAGGCTGGTGATTCCGGCTATCATATCCGTGCTGTCCTGAGCCGTATGAGGAGGCCCTGGAACCGCGGATCGGAACTCAACACCCACTTCCGCCAGATAGAGGGGAGGTTGGAACCCCGCTGGGAGTCTGTCTCATTTACACTTCACGCACTCATAATCTGCACGCTCCCTCCCAAACCTAGCGGAGCTCGCTTTCTCGGTTTGGTTTCCTGGGGAGTTTCTCGAGGAGTCTGTAGGGGTTGATCGGGGCCTCCTTCCCTTCAGTGGAATAGGTCTAAGGCCCCGGGGCTCCCTACCGTGGTTCAGACGTCTGCCAATGAGCCTTGTTCCTGTCCTGGTTCGAGCCCAGACTGGGTACTTCCGGCGGGGCCTCCAGTCGTCGAGGCGAGACTCCCACATGGTGGCAACAGCAGGCCTTCAGAGTGCTCTCAGTGGCAAGTGTCACCGGGTGGAACCGGGACCCCCACGGTGCAGCCTAGGGGCAGGCAAGGCGTCCTGGGTCCTGTCAACCAAAAGCACTTCTGGCTGGCTGGCCCGGCCAAAATGTTGCAGGAGGAGAAGGAGGAGCCTTCTCCTAATGACTGACCCAGAGACCAGGCGACAGGCAAGGGAGAAGACCAGCGTATATTCACCGGTGAGGCTCAGAGGACAGAGTCCAAATTCTGAGCCCGGAACAAAGAGTGTAACAGTCCTTTATACATTTTTAGGAAGGGTGAGGGGCACAGTTACAATGTAGTTATCTCTATCCCGAGCAGCGGCAGGATCTTGAGCAGGCAGTGGTCAGGCATGCATGTGGGCCTTGAATTCTTATCTTTCTGGTGCAGGCCTGTTCTTTGTAAGCAAGTAAGTTACGGAAGTCGTAAAGCAAGTTAGCAGTTTTACAACCTTAGTACCTGGTATAGAGTTCCCATAGAATTTCTACCTGTTTTCTTTTCTGTTTCACAGGGGCTGGGGACCCCTGCCACACAGCTACTTGGGAGGCTGAAGCAGAAGGATCCCTTGAGCCCAGGAATGTGAGGTTGCAGTGAACTATGCTGATTCCACTGCACTCTATCCCAGTCTGAATGATCATTGTGAAGAATAAATGAAATAATGAGTAAATGGCACCACCATCTATTGAATTGTTCAGACCCCAAACCAGAAGCCATCCTTGATTTAGCTCTTTCCCTCATTGATCCACAATCGAATCTTTCAACAAATCCTCTTGGCTCTGCCTTCAGAATAGGTTCCAAATTCATCCGTTTGTCTCCATCTCCATTGCTACCACCCTGAGCCAAGCCACCATTATCTCTCTTCTGAACCACTTCCTAAATGATCTGTGTTTACTTCTGCCCTTCTATAACCAGTTCTTCACTGCGTAGCCAGATTGATATCTTTGAAATATAAATCTGATCATGACACTCCCTTGTTTTCTAGGGGCATTGATGAAATCCTAACTCTTTATCATTGCCTATAATGCTCTAGACGGTCTGACCCCTACTATCTCTTCCACATTTCTCTATACTGTACCTACTCTGACCTGATTTCCATTCCAGAAACATGGCAGGCATCTGGCCCTTTGCACCGAAATGCTTTTTCTTCACAGAAAGACAATAGGAGAATGGTTAGGACCAAGAACTATAGAGTAAAATTGGTTTCAAATCCATTTGCTACTTACCAGCTTTTTGACATGGGCAAATTACTTAATTGCTGTGCCTCAGTTTCCTCATCTTTAAAATGGGGGATAAAAATAGTACCTACCTCATAGGGTTGTTTTAAGTGCATTAATACATGTCAAATGTTTATAACAGTGCCTGGCATAGAAAATATTATGTAAATGTTTGCTATTACCTCTTTTCTTTACATGCCTCGTTCCTGTTCATCATTCGTCTCAGCGCAATTGTCAGCTCCTCAGACAAGTCTTCCCTCATCACCCTATCTAAAGTAGTCCTCTCCCAAAGTCTCCATTACATTACTGTTTCATTGGTGTTTTATTGTCTATGTGGCATTTGATATTATCTGAAAAAAATTTTTCTTTTTTTGAAAAATTTTTTTTTAATGAAAACTCTGCAAGAGTAAGAATCTTGTCTCTCTGGCTCACTGTTGTATCCACTGAGCCTAGAATAGAGCTTGGTGTATAACCAAAACAAAGCCCCAGAAATTGTGATGAAGAAATGAATGAATAAAAATACACAATGTTGTTTATCTGGCATATAGAAGAGGTTACTAAGTGGTAATACACTAATACTGTGTGTCAGTCACTCTGGTAATTGTTAGGGATGCAGATGAGAAGAAGACACCATCCCTTAAGTTTAGTTGGGTAGAGAAAACAGACACAAATAATTGGGGAAATTGCTAAAAGGAAAGGTGTGTCCAGAATGCAATCTGGGAAGGAAGCAGAGATCAGCCACCTGAGAGTTGGGGGAGGCTGGAGCAGGCTTCAGAGAAGAGCTGACTAATGCAGTTATTGGGACTGAAAGGAAAAAAAAAAGAGCTGACTTGGATGAGTAGGAGGTACCTGCTGGTTGCAGCCAGTGGCCCTGTGTGGCAGCAGTGCTGGGAAGAGGCAGATTACAGATTAAATGGGAGAGAGGAGGACTTACAATTAAGTTAATCAAACACATTAATGGAAACCGTGCTACTTTGTAACTGGACAGAGATGAACACATGAGACTAGCAATTACATTTATCAATGTTTGTCACACCATATATCTGATAAGGATTATCAGATGTGGAATTGAGATGGGACAGGAAACAATGGGAATGGTAGTACCCTCCTGATTGCTTCTCTTCTGCAGGAATTTTTCACAGACAACCTGTGGGACACACTCCCTAACTCATGGCAGGAAGCGTTGGACGGACTGAACCCACCACAGCTGGCTACACTGCTGCTGGGGATGCCTGGGGAAGGGGAGGTGGTAAGGTATGGGCTAGGGGGTCCCTGTGCTGGGGAACTCAAGGCACTGAGCCCTGCAGTGAGCTATTGCTGAGAGCCTTACAAGTTCTTCCTGGGCCCCGGGTTGTAAACCGGTGTGTTCAGGATGCGACGGGACTGTTCACTGGAGGCCCGGGCCGGACTATCTCAGGTACAGGTCAGTGTGGCCACTCACCCTGCTGGCCCTGAAGTCCACGGCCCATGCCCTGGCCTTTACCCGGATGCCTGGCTTTCACACCCCGTCGGAGTTCCTGGAGAACCCCAGCCAGAGCTCCCGACTAACAGCTCCTTTCCGGAAACATGTCAGGCCCAAGAAGCAGCATGAGATCCGGAGGCTGGGAGAGGTGAGGTGATGACTGGAGATGGTGTCTGAGAGCCCGGGGACTCCTTATGCCTGCGGGTTGTGAAGATGTGTGCCCCTTACCTCACATGCAGGACCGAAGGCCCTAGAAGTTCACACACCTTGGCAGACACTATAATCATGTCCCGATGCTGGGGTTTCTTCAAAAATCCTTTTGTGGGGTTCGGTGGCAACTAAGTCTGTGTCCCGACCCTATTCCTGTTCTCACATCTCCACAGTCTGCTCATGGCTTCACAGCAGGGCTCTGTGGGGGAGAGTCAGTCACTGACCTGAAGAGCAAAGAGAATGGCCTGAACCTGGGGTCACCACCGACCCTTATTCCCATTTGCTTTCCACATCTGGGGCACGCTGTCCATCTTCTGTCGTCTTCGGCTCCTCTACCCTCATAATGGGTGTTTGCCCCAGGCATCAAGAACCAGTGGCCAGGAGACCTTTGCTCCCTCCTCTTTCAGTTGGTGAAGAAGCTGAGTGACCTCACAGGCTGCACCCAGGTTGTGGACGTGGGCTCAGGCCAGGTGAGCCTGACCCCTAACGTGCTGTTTATTTGAGTCACGGGGATAAAACAGTGGGAGGGCAGGTTATCAGGCCACAGGCCCAGGGAGGCAGGGCTGAAAAGTGGTGGGACCAGGCAGGCTAGAACTTAAGCTTTTTATGGGGCCTGGGACCCAGGTGCCCAGGCCACTGACAGGGAGGGTGACAGTGGATAGGGCACTGAACAGGGCTGTCTCCATCCTTCCTGTCATGACTGCAGGGTCATCTCTCCCGCTTCATGTCTCTGGGGCTGGGGCTGATGGTGAAGAGCATTGAGGGGGATCAGAGACTGGTGGAGAGAGCCAAGCGCCTGGACCAGGAGCTCCTGCAGGCTCTGGAGAAGGAGGAGAGGAGGAACCCACAGGTAGGCCGCCCCTGCCTGCAGCCTGCACTGCAGGAGCAGGATCTGCTTGGCTGGAGTTGGGCACAGAGGTTGAATTCCCTCTTCAGAGTTTCTTAGCTTAAGATGATGTGGTGCCCATTTCTGTTACCTCTTTCCCAAGGTTCCCTGCTTCCCCAGATCTCAAAGGCACTTTCTAGTTACAAAGTGCTTTCCACACTGTGTACTTCTTACAACCTGAGAAGTGGCCGGTCAGATATTAGACTCATTACAAATAAGAAAACTGGATCTCAAAGATGAAAAGATTTACAAAGTTAATAATGATAGACCCAGAATTTATCCCATCTCCTGATTCATGGTCCAGCGCTCTCCTGTGCCCCAGCTTGTCGCCCACGTTCCTCCTTGGGAAGTTAACACAGAGGACAGATCCCTTCCTGCGGCTGGGGGACAGCAGACAGACTTTCCATCTGCCTTTGTCCTTTCCTGCCTCCACAGATGGTCCAAACTGGCCCTCGGCACTCCCCACACCACGTGGTTAGGTGGGTAGACCCCACGGCCCTGTGTGAGGAGCTTCTGCTTCCACTGGAGAACCCATGTCAGGGCGGCGCCCGCTTGCTGCTAACAGGCCTCCATGCCTGTGGGGATCTGAGCGTTGCCTTGCTGAGGCACTTCTCCTGCTGCCCTGAGGTGGTGGCCCTGGCTTCAGTGGGCTGCTGCTACATGAAGCTGAGTGACCCTGGTGGCTACCCGCTGAGTCAGTGGGTGGCTGGGCTGCCTGGCTACGAACTGCCCTACAGGCTTCGGGAAGGGGCTTGCCATGCCCTGGAGGAGTATGCTGAGCGGCTACAGAGAGCTGGCCCTGGCCTCCGAACTCACTGCTACCGTGCAGCGCTGGAGACGGTCATCCGACGCGCCCAGCCCGAGCTCCGTCGGCCAGGCGTGCAGGGGATCCCTCGGGTCCACGAGCTCAAGATTGAAGAGTGAGGTTGGGGGATGTGGGGGGTGGTAGGGGGAAGATCACCAACTGGAGATCTGATTCTCTTCCCACCCTCACTTGTTAGCATGGCCTAAAGAAAATCTAAATGTTCCCAGAGGAGTGATTTGGGGTTCTTTGACCAGGGCAACTTCTCAAATATTTCTCTATTTTTTATTTAAAAAAAAAATTTTATATGACATAGCATTGGGAGGCAAAAAAAGTTGTTTTAGAGATGGGTCTTCCCCTGTCACCTAGGCTAGAGTGCAGTGGCGTGATCATGGCTCACTGCAGCCTTGAAATCCTGGGCTCAAGCAATCCTGCTGCCTCAGCCTCACAAAGCGCTGGGATTACAGGGATGAGCCACCACACCTGGCCCACAAAAATTTCTTTAAGAGGGAGTTGTCCCTCTTTTATCAGGAGACTATCAGAGAAATATAAAATTTTTTAAATGCTAAAAATGTGGCAAAACAATTGGACAGAATATAAATTTTTAGATTCATTTGCTATTAGACAGCCTATAGCTAGAGAAATATTTAAAAATGCAAATGAGGGTAGAAAACCAGGCAAAGTTGGAATCAAATTAGGAAGAGGCAAAGTTTAAGTGGGAGGTGGAGGTTCCTAAAACCAAGCCAAGTGCTGTCTGTGGCTTATCCCACAGATATGTGCAGCGGGGGCTACAGCGTGTGGGGCTAGACCCCCAGCTACCGCTGAATCTGGCTGCCCTCCGGGCCCACCAGGCCCAGGAGAACCGTGTGGTGGCCTTCTTCAGCCTGGCCCTACTGCTGGCCCCACTGGTGGAGACATTGATTCTACTGGACCGGCTGCTCTACCTTCAGGAGCAAGGTAAGGATGACCTACAGGGACCCAGGCCCAGAGAGGCTAGAGTTCTGGGGCTCTTCCTTCAAGTCCCAGCCCCCACATCTGCTGGGCCTGGTTCATCACTGTTGTGATTCTTGGACCCCTGCTTTTGAGTCACCAGTGGGGTGAGGGTAGGCAATTTGTTAAAAAGTATAGATTCTCACCAAATCAGCCTCTGCTGGTGGCTCCCTAAGGTGCATCTTAAGTACACTTCCCAGGCACTGAGAAGGTCCAATACGTGAGGACTGCCTCCCAAGTCTTCCTCATGGACAGCAGGGTCTCCTTAATCCCCCTAGAGCTTCCCCGGTGGGGATAAGGGGGTATGCCCACAGGCTGTGCAAGAAGTGGCTGAGTGAGAGTTTGGTTTATTTTTTTCCTTCTGATTAGCCTTGCTTTTCTCCCAGGCTTCCACGCTGAGCTCCTGCCCATCTTTAGCCCTGAGCTCTCTCCCAGAAACCTGGTTCTGGTGGCCACCAAGATGCCCCTGGGTCAGGCCTTCTCTGTTCTGGAGACTGAAGACAGCTGACACAGCCTGAGTAAGGGCACATTTCAGACCCCATCTGAAACCGCCCAGGTACCATAGTGTAGCACAGTACACCTTCCCCAGAGAACCAGCATCCTGCATCCTCCAGAATCCTGGTTCCCCACAAGCCTTCAGTGCCACACCCTTTCCCTCCACGTGTTATGTAATATTGTATAAAGTTTTATTTTTTATTTATTACAAAATGGAAATCTTTATTTCCCTTCCATTTCTACAAGGAGAGAAAAGGAGACTGCACCCTCCCTATGGTGCTGCTGCTGCAGAGGTGCGAGTTACGTCTGTCACACTCTGGTCCCCACTGCCCTCCCTAACCAGGCAGCCTAGGTGGCAGCTTCTGTTACTCAGAGGTCTCCATGGAGGGAACCTCTCTCTCTTCCTTTGGTCTCCATCCCTGATTTGCAGGCCCTGTCCTTGGCAGGGCTACCATAAGGCTAGCTAACTTCCATCCAGATTCTATCATAACATCAGGAATGGGTATACTGGGGTTAGGGGTGCCATTCTACTAGAGACAGCAGCTGCACGCAGGAGGACTCATGGCTCTTTATTGGCATCTGAAGAAGAGGTGCCCCAGCCTTCAATGCCAAGACAGAAGTGGGGGAGAAGCTGCTCTCCCCAGGCTCAATACCAATAGACTTTCTTGGGTTTCCGGGTCTCTTGGATCCCCATCGCCTCCATCACCTCCTCCTGCAGTGTCTTTAGACGGGGCACATATGTTCTTTCTAGAGCATCTTCTACTGATGTGTCTTTGGGGCCATCTGTGGGGCCAGAGAAAGGAGACGGGTGGAAGGGCTTGCCAACTTGTCTTAACATCCCTTACTTTCCTCCTACCCACCCCCCATCTTCCGCCCCTCACCCAGACTTACCAATCCATGTTTCAGGGACGATGCCATCGGCTCTGGGAAATTCAGGTTTGGGGATTATTCTCCCTGATCTCGTGGAGACTCGTACCCTCTCTCCTGCCTCAGTAAATCTCCACTCGATCTCAGTGGGTTTCCTGGTGGATAGAAGAGGTGAGCCTGGCCTGGGAGCCAGGTACCCTGCCACCCTCCAACCCAAAAGTAGAGTCAATGGTTGAAAACACCAAGCTTACCACTTTGTTTCTCTAACTCTGTATTGGGGGTACCCACAGGGAGTCGTGTCCATGAGATAGCCCCTCAATTTCCAGAGCATCCAACCCACCATTCCCATTGGACAACACGCTCATGGACTCAGGGTGAGAGACCCTCTGACCAGATCCCCATGTGCTTGCCTGTCCACAGGATCCACAAGTTTGACTTGGTGGTGGAGCAAGGGGGCTTCACTAGGGATCATGGTTCCCCGGTAATCCTTGGTCTTGCCGATGTAGCGGTAATGCTGTCCAAGAGAGGGGGAATATCAGAAAGCAAGGGGGTGTGAAGGGGATTTACCCATGCTGCTAAGTGCATTCAGCCCAAGTTGAAAAGTAGAGGGTTCAGTAGTACCACTAGCCCCTCAGCCAGTCTCCTGCTGCCCTGTGCTGCTCTTAATGGAGAAGGACAGATGGGACAGGCTTCTGCGCACCCCCATCCTCTCTCTTCACTTACTGTGTTCAGCCCTTCCAGGACTACCCAGTTTCGCTGCCGGATAACTTGAACCACTTTGCCCTGCTTCCCGGCATCCTTGCCTTCTAGGATCTCCACCTGTGGGAATACACGAGGGTCAGGGAGGAGGATCCTTGCCCAGGAGCCTCCCCATCACTCCGCCCCGTCTGAGGCTCTCACCATGTCCCCACAGAATAGATGCCAGTCTTCATCAGAGATGGGTTCCACAACCACCGGGCGCCGTCTGGTCCATGGGGGATTCTTCCTCTTGTCTGCCAGGGAACCTGGGCGGCTCATCCCATAGCGGTAATGGGGAGGCAGACTGACTTTGGATGCCAAGGCCAGCAGGGCAGAGAGACGCATGGCTGAAGGCTGTGAGAAATCCCTTTGCCAGCAAAAGGCTTAGAAACCTTCCTCGTCAGCTTTGGGGTAGAATGGGGCAAAGAACCAAGGGAAGGAACATTTTTAAAGCACTTACTCTGTTGCTCAAAGGAACTCATCTCATTGAACCTTCACAAGATGATATTATCTTTATAGATGAGGAAATAGGTTAAGTAACTTGCTCATGGTCACAGAGCTACTACGTGGAAGAATCAGCATTCAAACCCACATATATCTGACTTCAAAGTCCAAAAAATTCATTAAGGCCAGGGGCCATGTTATCTAGCTCACTCTTGAATCCAGCAGATCCCAGTAGAGGTTGGCACATAGTAGGTACCCACTAAATAATTATTAAATGAATGTACAAACAGCAGGATAGGAAGAAAACATAATGGAACACACACTGGCATAGGGTCAAAAGGCAGGCAGTTACAGGGTGAAATGAACAAATAGGTAGTAGAGATAAAAGTGGGTTAAAATGTCCCCATCCCACTTCCAATTCCTATTCTCCAGAAATAACCACTTCTCCCTAAGTTAGTTTCTTTTCTAAAGGAAAAGAAGGGCCGAAGTAGGATTATTGGGTCATAAATTTCCCAACCAAGTATGTGCTCTAAGCCTCTCAATTCTGGATGACAGACTAAATTAATGGGGTAGCAAATGAACTGAGAGCAAAAATAAGTTCTTCAGTTTATTGAGTAATTGTTACTTGCCAGGTTCCAGGATAAATGCTTTCCTGTATCATCTCACTTAAGCCTAAGGACAACTGATGAAGAAGTTATCATTAATCTCATCTTTTTTGTTTTTTTTTTTTTTTTTTTGAGACAGAGTCTCGCTCTGTTGCCCAGGCTAGAGTGCTGTGGCGTCAGGCTAGCTCACAGCAACCTCAAACTCCTGGGGTTAAGCGATCCTCCTGCCTCAGCCTCGGAAGTAGCTGGGACTACAGGCATGCGCCACCATGCCTGGCTAATTTTTCCCATATATTTTTAGTTGTCCAGCTAATTTCTTTCTGTTTTTTATTGGAGACGGGGTCTCACTCTTATTCAGGCTGGTCTCAAACTCCTGAGCTCAAACGATCCACCTGCCTCAGCCTCCCAGAGTGCTAGGATTACAGGCGTGAGCCCCCATGCCTGACCTCATTAATCTCATCTTATAGATAAGAAACGAACCCTAACTTCAAAGTATACTATAATGGCAAAAAACACCCGGACTGGGAAGTCAGATGACCTGAGTCCAATCCCTGTTCCACCATCATCTTTCTGTGTGACCTAGGCAACTTACTTAACTTCTGAGCTTCAGTTTCATTATCCATGAAATTTTACAGGGTTGTAGGTGTCATTTAAATTATTTTTAATAGTCTAACAAAACCCAGGTACAGAATGATGTAAATAGTATTATTACTTTTGGGTAAATTAAAAATATATATTCTGGCACAGGCATAAATATAATATTATGGGAAGGAAACAAGAAACTAAAGTACTTGTTTTGGAGAAGAGGAACAGTTTGGAAGGGCTATTACTTTCCATTTTGTTCCTTTCCATAACGTTTGCACTTCCTAAGCATATGCATTTAAAAAAATATCAATGGGTTTATCTGAACAGTTAGATATGGGTCATTTTTTCTTCTTTATACTTCTCAGTATGGAAAAACAAGGCCTAATGTTATTTTCAGTTAATGCTGATTGAATGTAAGGGCCTCGATGTTCCTATTCGGGTTCAACAAATACTTAGGGAACGCTACTATGTGACAAACCTAACGCTGGGAATTTCAATATTACTGCCATTTTGTCTTCACATTGTCCACTGAGGGAGGTTGCCAGGTGTAAGCATCATAAGGTCCCTTTTACAGACAAGAAAACCAAGGCTCTAAGAGCTGGAGTGACTTGCCTTAGCTTGATAGAAATAGGGCCAATCTTGAGACTGAAGCCTCCTGCGTGATTACTGCAAGGAGTCACTTAATCCCACTCATTCTAGGTCTGAGCCAGACCAGTCTAAAGCAGCTTGCACGCCCCATAAATCTTTCTTTTCTTTCCCTTCTTAATCCGGAGGCTGGTGCCCCTTTTGCAGTGGGGCTTTCACTGCGTGTTCTGGAGGTGCCGTGCAAGGTAGTGGGGTCGAACGTCTGTCCCTCAGGTCACAACTCCAAATGGGCTTTCTCCACTAGCCTCATCCCGGCTGCGAATCCCGATCCCAGACACCGCCAGGCCCCAGCAGTCTTCAGCACCCACCCGATCCAAGTTTTCCGTGCAGGGAAACCCCGAGGAGGCGACTGAGCCACAGCCAGGGAAAATGATGGGCGCTTCCCGCACCTGCCTCCCGGACGAGCCCCGGAACTGCAACACCTCAGGGCCGCGCGGCCCTCACCTCCGCCTCCCGAAGCACTGAGGAGTCGCCGTCTGTCACCTTGGCACGTGGGACCTCAGCCCCGCCGGTCGACTTTCTGGGAAATGTAGTCCATCTGTAAAGCGGAAGCTCAACAATGAATCTAATCTCTCAGCATTCTGGGAGTTGTAGTCCAGCGATCAGACATAAGCTGGAAACAGGAAATTTGGCCGGGGCAGGAAATCAAAGACACTGAGAACACCGTAGAGCATGTCGGGAATTGAAAGGAAAGCTGGTTAGGCTGACGCGCCTGGCATATTACTGCGCATGCTCTGCGTGGAGGCCGCTGGGAATTGTAGTTTCTAGAGACGATAGCTCCATTTTCTAGGTGATTGTGGCTTCCTGTTTAAGGCAAAGGGCCTCCTCCCTTTCCAGGCAAGACTACAGCAACTCTCCCGTCCTTCTCTGCAGGAGGGGTTAAGGCAGATTCAAAAACTGCCATAGGGTTTCCAGCGAAAGGGACGAAACGGGGCCTTTCCAATGGTATTAGATGATCTAGTCACAAAATGTCAGAATCTGGGAGGAACCTCAGAGATGATCTAATCCAGTCATTCCACTTAACAGGGGAGTATTGGGAGAATTCCATCTATTAACCTCCTCCCCCTACCACCCCATCACCAGTGAAGGCTGGCAGGCACCCCTAGCATTAGCAAGGAGAAAGGATTATTCTCTCTATTCTTTAGATTGCCCTTTGGGGTCAGAGTTGTTTCTACAAAGAGCTCAAACACTCCCACCTTCCATGGCCATCGCAGGCTATGGCACCCTCCCACACCCCACTTTTGTGCTCATGGGGTAACCGGTATTAAACAGTGGCTGAGCAGGATGGGTAGAATGAATGGTGTGGTCTATTCTAGGACTCTGCCCACATGTAGAATTTTGGATTTCCAACAGTCTGGGAATGGAAGCTGGCACCCCCTACTTCAAACTACAATGATCTGGAAACCACTTGCATTCCCTTCCCCCACTCCCTCTCTTCAGTGAACCAACACACCCCCAAAGAATCAGTCAGAATCCAATATAGTAATCAACGGATTTTATTTTCCTAGAACTGAAATCGTCTACGGTTCTCAGAGCTAAACTTCCAAAGCTACAGTCAGCAATTTTTCATCAGAGCCCGAGGGAGAGGGGCCAGGGTAAAAGAGACAAGAGACAAAGAGAGGCATAGAGAGACCACTAGGAAGAGGGTGGGCGAGGGCACTTACTTCCCTGTGTCCTCCCAGCAGGTTACAAATCGGATCTGGTGACAACACTGAGGGGACCAGGTAGGGGTATGTGGATGGGAAATGACACTGGAAGAAACACCAAAGCCCCAGCTACAAAAAGAAAGTAAATCATCAAGCCCCAAATAGAAGGGGAGCCTCCCAGTGCACCTCAGAAATGGGGGCAACAGTGGGGACGATAGGAGAATGGGGAGCACACAAAGGGTTAGGGGTCTTTAAAATTTTTTTTTGTAATTTTCTTTTATTAAAAACATTTCCTAAAAAATGTGTCTTTTCCTTTATGTCTGGGTGATATATATGACTAAGCTGGCCTTGAGCACTGTGGGGAGAGGGAAAGGGCAGCTAGGGGTCTCCCCAGGGCATCTTATCTCTGGCTCCAGAAATCCAAAGGGGCACAGATACTGCTCCATACTCCCACCCAAATGGGTAAAGTCAACCCTTTAGATCTCAGGCCCTTGGCCCAAACTTGGAAGCCCCAAAATCTTCTGATGATAAACTACAACTCCCAGAACTCCTGGGGTTAGCAAAAGGAAGAATGGGTGTTGTCAATCATGGAGAATTTACGGAAGGGAGCCCCTCCCCCACAAGCTGTCCCACTTTCCCTGAATCCAGGCAGCTGGGATAATAGGTGTGGGAGAAGACAGGAGCTCAAGAAGATGCTGCCCTCCTGTGCCACGCCCACTACTTGAGGGTTGCCCCTCCCAGGCCCCAGAAGCCCATCCTGCTGTTCATGCTCCATCCCTTCCACTCCTACCTCTGATCCCGACCCAGAGGTCCAGGATGCCTGGGGGAGGGGGAGAAGGGTGTCAGGAGGTGGAAAACAGCTGATCTAGGCCTCAAAAGAAGCCCTAGAAAACAGCTCCCAAGCAGGCGCACAATGGCCTGATCTCATCCCAGGGAGAAGACATGGCCCTGACTCAGATCACAGGGGTGTAGGGACCTAGAGGTGAGGGCCAGGTGGCCTTACCCTATCCGGGTCAATCTCCAGGGGATGATGGGCTTGAGATGGGGAAAGTGAGTGGAAGAGGAGAGCGGGTTGGGGTGGGAAAGGGGTTCCCAGTTTGCAGGCCATGGCCAGTTTCCCCAGTAGCACCCAGACAGCAGCAGGAACGGGGTGGGGGCTCCTCTTGAAACATTGGTGGCTACAGGCTGCGGGGGAGGGTTGGAGGAGAGAAGGGTTAATGGTGTGGCCTTGGCTTGGCCTTGCCCCAGCCAGTGCCGGTCTCCTGGGAGAGCCCACCCTGCCTCCCAAGAGGCTGACCACTGCAGGCCCTTCTCCTCCTCTCCACAAGTGGCCAGGCCCTCTCAGCCCAGCTGCCAAGAGGGCAGGGGGCTTACTCACCTCTCATGATCTCTGACGCCTGGGGCCTCAGCATCTTCCTTGGCAGCCTCTTCCTCTTCTTCCTCTTCTTCTTCCTCCTGAGGAGGCCCCCGGCCAGAGCCGGGCTCAGAGGGGGTGCTATTCTTCTCCACCTCCACAGGGAGGGGCCTCTCACTCTCCAAGTTGGCTGCCTCCTTCTCCTCCCCTTCAGGGTCTTCTGCCTCCTTGGGACGTTTAGGGGAGTCCTGAGCAGGATTGTCAGAGACAAGGTGGGCTGAGGCCGGAGACGGAGGACACCAGCCAGCTACCCGGTGCCCCCACTCCTCTCCTCGGAGGCTCCCTCCTGGGCTGACACCCACAGTCCTTCCCCATCCCTGTACTGGCTAAAATGCCTTCTTCTGTGTTCCATCTGCTCAGCTGGGGACCCCCAAGACTAGGGACTGGATCTATCTCAGACCAAGGACTCGCTGAAATAGGAGTGTAGGGACACCCTGCTGAGGATGCTCCAGTGGCCCAGGCCTCAGGCAGGCAGCAGTTACCTCTAGCAGGTCCCCTGCTCTCCTCTTCAGCGCCCCCTTCTCGTTCTTCTCCTTGGCTGGCTCGTCGATGACCAGCTTCCCTTCCTCATCACTGCTACCCTCTGCATTCCCCTTCTTATCGCCGTCACCCTCCGTGGCTTCGGGCTCCGGCTCAGGCTCTTCCACGCAGCTCTTTTTCTGGGAGGACTGTGGCAGAGATATCAGAGATTGAGTGGCACCAGTGGCTGCCATGGTGGGCCCCCTTCCCCAGACCCCTCCCTCGGCCACTCACTCCTTCCTTTTCCCGCCTCTCCCCCACCCCCACCCAGGTGCCCAGTCTCACAAGTGATTTGAGACCCACCTCTGTCGGATTAGCCCCGGGGTAAACCCACTGGCCGGGCAGGCAGGGCTCTGTGCAGGAGGGGGGAGGGCTGGAGCAGGAGGCAAAACCTCGGGTCAACTTCTCCCAAAGGGAGCTGGGACCCTTTCCCCGCCAACCCCCGCCCCCCACCCTCCCGCCTTGTCCTGCCCGGCTCACGAGCACCTCCTCCTGGAAGCCTTCATGGAAAGAGTTAAGGCCATGTCCTATACTCACACTGGGCCCAACAAAGGCCGGTCCCCACTTACCGCCTCCATCCTGTTCTTGCCCCCAAGGCTGCTAACAGATGGCCCTAACCACAACTATACTACACACCCCAACCCCATCTCCTCTTGCAGGAAGCCCCCCTCCCCTCCACCCCAATAGCTCCTACCCTGAAAGCCTTGGTGTTTCTGAAGACTAAGCATCATCTGTGGGCCGGGGCTTCCAAAGCCCATGGCCACACCTGCTTTCCAGGGGGTCTTTGGGGCAGATGGTGGCTCACCTGGTAGCCAGAAGCCTTGACGGTAGGGTTGTTCTCGATCTCCCATAGCCCCTCGCTGAACCCTTTCCTCTTGTTGGGCTTGCCAAACTTCTCCTTGGACTCCTCGTAAGGGAAGAGGTCTTTGGGGCCCAGGAATGCCCTGGTGAAAGATGGGAGACTGTGCTCTCAAGCCCCTCACTGCCCCTGAGCTGCACCGCCCGACACAAAAGGGGCACCATCACCACCTCTCTTTCCCCAAAGTGGTCCTCCCATGGCCCTCCCAACCTACGCCCCTTTGGCCTTTACTCACGTCTCGTGGGTCCCGAAAAAAAAGACTTGGTATTTGTTGGCTGTTGATTTCACGGCAGCTTCAGGCATCTCGTCAATCTGGGGATGAGATGAGGGACGTGAGCGTGAGCTGGAGTCCTGAGGTCCTAAGTCTGAGGCAGGGGCACTGACCTCTATGCCACATTTGTATAAAACCAGACTGAGAGAGACCCAGGAGATTAGCAAGGCGGCTTTTGGACCATTTTTAGCAGTGGAACTTTGTTTAAATGAAGTCAGACGTGGAAGCCCAACAGAAACCCGAGTCCCTCCCTCTCCTTCAGCAACCAAACAGCACACATACTGTCCCCCAACGTGTCCAGGTCCTGGCCACAAAGCCCCTTATCTTTGCCATCACCCTAGTCCAACCACTGTCCTCTCTTGCCTGAACTAAAACCACAGCCTCTACAATACCTATCCTCTCGGTCTCCATTTGTGCCCCACGATAGTCCATTCTCCACACTGCAGCCAGAATGGGCCTTTCCAAATGCTCATCCAATCATTTCATCCCTTTGCCTCAAACTTTCTAATTCCTTTTCAGGACACCAGGGCCCACCTGTTCACCTCTCCTCCACAATGGCGAGCTCTGAATCCCAGCTCTGCCACCATTTGTATGATCTTAGGCAACTTATTGAACCTCTCTTTGTCTCGGTTTCCTCATCTGCAAAAGGGAGATAGTCACAGTGCTTACGCCATAGTGTTGAGAACGAAATGACCACATCGTGGCATGTAGTACGTCCTACCTCTGCTATCATCAACCTCTCCCAGGACGCTGCCCTTTCTGCT